CCAAACCCTATGTCTGTCTTATAGTTATTGTAGGGATTCTGTGGACAAAACAGTTCCCTATCGACGGCCAGTAATGTCTTTTTCCTATTTATATAACAATTCCTACGAGAAAAGTTGCTTTGAATTAATCCAGATCCAATTAAAATCGGCGTTTAACTGCATTTCCCTACTAATCAACGGCTTAATCGCCACTTTCAGGTGACTCTCGCAGACTGTCTGTCCATCGGCTAACTTATCGATAGTCATCAGATCCTGACTCCCAGTATCATCAGCCACGGGGACAGTCATACGTCCGCCGCATTTCAGTTGATTAATGAGCTCCTCGTCCGGGTATTCATCAACACTGGCGCCGACATTAATCACATCATAGGGTCCTTCCATACAATACCCGTCCCTCCCGTCGTGGACCACAAATTGCGGACAACAGTCGCCCAATAAATCCATATAATTATTATTCACCACATTTTGCGCACTTTCGATAAGCTCCGGGATGTGGTCGATGGCTATAATAGTGCACGGCTTTGACGCCCGGACACAGATCAGTGCAAAACACACCGACAGATAGCCGGTGCCGCACCCAATGTCCAGTACCCGTACGGGCGCCTCCCTGTCCTCCGCCACTAAATGCTCGTATAGTAACTCCATTAGCATTGTGTCGATTACCGGGGAATTAAACTCTGCGCCAAACCCTATGTCTGTCTTATAGTTATTGTAGGGATTCTGTGGACAAAACAGTTCCCTATCGACGGCCAGTAATGTCTNGTCCTCCGCCACTAAATGCTCGTATAGTAACTCCATTAGCATTGTGTCGATTACCGGGGAATTAAACTCTGCGCCAAACCCTATGTCTGTCTTATAGTTATTGTAGGGATTCTGTGGACAAAACAGTTCCCTATCGACGGCCAGTAATGTCTGTATGACTTCCGGGGTATATATTATCTCCAAGTCCTGCAGCACTTCCACTAAGTCTTGTAATTCGAGGCTATATTTGGGCATAACTTTCGGTGCACTCATACAAGTGTCCAATCGTTTGCCTAATTCTTGACATTCATTGACACTATGTCTTAGCTTTCGCTTTAATTCTCTGTTTATTTGTTGTAGTTTTGTCTGACTTGTCTTTAGCTCCTGGATCTCACTCTTTAGGAGTTCAATACAATTGTGGTTTTCATCTGTTCATTAGAAAGTAAATAAATAGTTTTTATTAATAGTTATACAATTCATTGTAAATAATCTATTTAAGAAATACAATGTTTGTCAAAATCTTGTTTATCCTTATATTCAGGTTAATGACAACTCTCTCTCTCTCTCTCTCTCTCTCTCTCTCTCTCTCTCCACTTAAATTAAATAAAACTACAAGTAATGCAATGACTGTGCAATACCTGTATCACAGTGTAGTATAAAGTGGTTGTAATGTACTTTTTTGCTAAATACAAATGTATATACCAATTAGGAAAAACGCGAAAAAGTGATAAATTATTAACTGCTTAGATACTGCACCGCAAAGGTATTTACTATTTATTAAGTATATTAAATATGGAAATGTATACAAGTTTTTTGCTCAAGTATAATTACCAAAATTAAAGCACAATTTACCTGTAACAGGCACAAAATGACCACACTCGTAGCATTCACTTTTTTGCACACCATTTGGTTGATATCTACACATGTCTTCATGAGATTTAATGTCAATTATAGTGAATGTCTGATCGCATCCATGTCCCCAATTTACACATTTCAGCACAATATCCGAGTAGTTGTCGTAATACTCATCCGACACATCGCCCAGACATTCAACGTCCAGAGTTGGCTCCCTATCTATGGGACAGTTATGTTTGGATTCAATCCACTCCCGTATACATTGCTCACAAAATACATGACTACACGTGAGTATGACTTTCGGCACAACTATTATACCACAACATATGCCACACAAATACTGGTCGTCAATACACCCGTCCACACATCGGTTTACATCTAAACCCATAATTACTGGTAATATATTCCGGACTACCGGTGCCGTACAGGTCACCACCTTTTAGAATACCTCGAAACGTGTAGTTCCCCTCACTTTAAGGCTGTGTTAGATTTTGTTGGGACATACATACACGCCATACAATTGAACACTGGATGTGACTAATTGTGGGACTAATAGGTGAGGGTATGGGATGTGTCGGAGAATTAATCGATGGATGACTAGTCAAATCGATGAGAGCTACAGGTGCTGGTGAGAGCACAGGTATGGTGAGTAGGATGTGAATCACAATTAACTTATTTTGTAAGCAAATGAATACAATCTATGAAAAAAGTGTAACCGAGAGAACAATGATTTCTCAACTTTTATTTAACATTTATATAAAATTTTTGTTATTTTTATTGTTTTTACTGTGAATTCCATACTTTTATTATCTATTTATGAAAATATGCGATAATTTTGATGATAACATGCATTAGTTTACAGGTATTTCGTACATAAAGGGGGAGTTTATGACAAAAATGTATTTTTAATATATTCAAACATTACTATAAATTAAAGTTTTTGTTTCAATAACTTATTTTATTAATCAGTGAAAGGTTACAATAAATTGTTTTAATAAAATGCTTTTACAAAATATAATTAAAATAAATCTGTATTTTTAATAAATTTATTTAAACAATTGTATGCTAATAGACAATTCATTTGTAAATTTTTAACGTATGTCAAATATTTTATTTTGCAAAAATCAAACATGTCAAATTATTAATAATTTGTATTTTGTATAATATTAAAATTTTTATTAAATATTTACTCATTTAAATAAAACTAAAATAATTTTATTTATAATATCTAATAAAAATTTCATGTAGACAACTTTTCAAATACCATGGTATTATTAACAATCTTTATTCAACTTATAAAATAAACATATTAATTAAATATTAAGTATGATTTTAACATTGGAAATTTAATATCTCATTGAGATATTATTATTTATCACTTGTTTAAATGTTATACAAATAAATATCAGGATATAACTATTAAATAAACATTTATAGTTGACTTACTGACAGATATACCTTTAATATTGGAAATTTAATATCTCATTGAGATATTATTATTTATCACTTGTTTAAATGTTATACAAATAAATATCAGGATATAACTATTAAATAAACATTTATAGTTGACTTACTGACAGATATACCTTTAATAATGACATTATAATATGGATTTAGTTTACTTATTATATAATACACTCTTTAAATGTTTTTACTAACATACTGTAATTATTAATATAAATTAACCTTGATTGATTATTTTGAAAACAATTTATAATTCTCGGAACATTTCTAGCTCTTAATAATAGTTATATTTTTATTAATTATTTTATTTATAAATATGTATTTATTAATAATATATTCATTAATGTATATTTTAATTCATTTAACATATGAAACAAATTGTCATTAATAGTTGCAATATTTTTCAAAACACAGACTTTTCATGTTAGTGTATACTCGTAGTATTTATAAATTAATTTTAGTCAGCATTGATGGTGTTTCTAGACATAAATTAGATTAAATGTAGTCTCAATAAATGATACACAAGCACAATTTAATTAAACTACATTCAATGGAATATTATCGAAAAACTTCCAATAAGCATTTTATAGTAAGTAGCAGCCAGGTTTTTCCAAATAATATAATTATCATTAGTTACTATAAATAAATGTTTAAAAATAAATTATTGTTTACTATTATTAAGTGCAGTACTTTATTATAATAAAGGTCCATTAATTTTAGAATTAATTCTTAAAATTTAGTTAATATTTGTTAGTTCTGTGTGTAATAAACCCTATTTATATTGTTTTATGATAGTTAATTAAAATATTAATATTTAGTATCATATAAAATTTACAAATACTTCATAATAAAACATATAAATACTACGATAATAAACCGATAACATTTCGACACAAAAGCTACTGATTTTATGATACAAATCATAGATTATTATAATATATTTCTGGGAATTTTAGAAAATATTTCCTTTAAAACAGACACTAAAAAGACCTTGGTTTATAAATTATAATAAATTAAGCTTAAATTAAAAATATGCTTGCGTTTAGTACAAAATACAATGCTGCATTGTCAATGTATTTAATTTAGTGATTTATAATGCTTATTTAAATTAGTTATTTTGTTCAAATGTTATTTTGTATACTTTTAGAAAAACTATTGTCTGGCTCATACAGCTAATAAAATATAAATGATTATTATGACACGTTGTCTATAAAGATTTATATTAAATAAAAATTAAAGTTATAAATAGCATGTAAAAATTATTTATTTAACATTTACATTAATTATACTGATTTACACAACAGATATTCTGTTGATATGGTGGGGTTGGCATAAAGTAGAGGCCCTTTTAAGATTAGCCGTAGTGTATTATAAAATATTAATGACTTTGCTTAACTTTTCCTGGTATAATTAGCACATAAAACAATTACATGAAGAATTAGATTTAGGAATCTATTTAGACTCGAGTGCTCACAATAATTATCTAACTATTATAGACTAATAAACTCTATTATATTACAGACAATTGAATTCATTGTATGGACACCTCCACCCCCACTCTCGCCCCCATAACCATTTAAAATGCTATTCACATTCAGTAATATTATCGCCACTTTAGTGCTTAAATATCAGATACTCTTAAACTTTACCAAAACTTTGTTGAAGGCCTCCCAGTGCTCTGTCATACAATTTGAATGATAATTTACAAACTCCTCAAACATATTGTGTACTCGTATTACAAACACTCATTCAGATAGTGTCGTGAATTAAATAGTGTATATGATTTATATGCAATTGATAAGTGAATTATCTGTGAATTTGTTGATTTAGACAACAAGTTATATCGCGAGTGTAGAGGAAACCAATAATTTGTTTGTAATAAATAGTGGAAAAACTTTTTATTAAATAACAAGAATTTTCTAATAATATTCGTCTCAAGAATCAGACATCAGTGACTTATAGTCTGATTATTTTCAGACAACGTTTAAACATTTTATATTTTATTTTTATATAATAAAATCATTTTATATAGTATTTATTATTACAGTGAATTTGAAATACTTTTAAAAAGTTATAAATAAGGAAAATATTGAACTTTCCATCAAAATAAAAGGTGAAAACAATTTAATCTCTTTGAACTTAATATACTTAAAACTAATTTTAAGTAAAATTAATGATACCAAATTCATAGTAAAAATATACTACGGTACAATAATAGTAACATTTTGTTAATTACACTATAATCTGCTTAATGTATACCAGGAATTGTATGGAAAAAACCTTATACTTGGTGTGAATTTACTTATCTAAATGATTATTACTTCTTATTATTTTTAATAATTACTAACTTTTTCACAACATTTTTAAGCATTTGTCAACTTATAAACACTTGTTTCACAACTTTGTCCTAAACAACAAATTAATTATATTATATTTTTTATTCAAATTATATTCACATCAGACTAGGAGTGACTCAATACCCGAGCACATTATGGCCACTCGATGGGGGATATTAAGCGCCGGCAAAATCAGCCACGACTTTGTCTCAGCTCTCAGGACACTGCCTACCGATGAACACGAGGTCTGTTTTTGACACCACATTTGCATCATTATTATTATACATTTATATTTATTTTTTAGATAATTTATTATAATCAGTAATAAATTAGATTCTTGATATTTTATGCATTTTACATATTCATTTATGAATAATATTAAACTTTAATTATAAAATATTCAAATACGGTAGTATCTCAAAGCGTAATAATAATATTTAATTATTAATCAAATCAAACTTTATCAAGAAAATTCTGGTTTTAATAGAAATCTTTTAAAAATGCAATTAATCACATTTAAAGTAATGTAATTATATTTTAAATTTAAAACTGTACGAAAAGCATGATATATTTATAAAATATTACGTTTAAAATGATTACATTTATTTTGGACTATCCATTTCTGGATTTAACAAATTTTTATATTTATAACACAAATCTAATAAAACATTCTTATAGTTAATATTTCATTAAAACCTTATAAATATTGCATTAATTTGTCAACAGTTGGTGTGTGTGGCGGCCAGGGATCTGAAATCTGCTCAGGAGTTCGCCCGACTTCACGGCATTCCCAAAGCGTATGGATCTTACGATGAGTTAGCCCGGGATCCGCGCGTCGAAGTGGTATACGTGGGGACTATACATCCGCACCACTTGTCGGCCACTAAACTACTACTAAAAAACGGCAAAAACGTTTTGGTCGAGAAACCCTTAACCCTTAACCTGAAAGGCACTCAGGAGTTGACATCCCTGGCCCGCAAACACAACCTCTTCTTAATGGAGGCCCTGTGGTCGCGATTTCTACCCTCCTATGAGTTCGTCATGAATGCCATTAACACCGGTATTATTGGCGACGTAAACCACGTGACTGTTAACTTCGGAATGCCTATCGCGGACGTGGATCGGGTCAACCGGAAGGAGTTGGGCGGCGGAACGGTAATAGACATCGGTATCTACACGTTAAATGTGGTGCAAATGGCGTTCGGCGGCGAAAAGCCCACTGAAATCAAGGCGATCGGCCATTTGAATGAGAATGGAGTGGACGAGAGTATGACGGCTGTCCTCAAGTACAGCAATGGCCGCACCGCTAACGTAGCCACCAGTGCTCGGGTCAAGTATCCTTGTGAGGCACATATAGTCGGCACTAAAGGAGTTGTCAGGGTTAGTTTGTGTAGAATATTCTTGATAATTAATTCCACGCTAGTGTATATTAATTTGTATATTTTTGGCTAAAACTTTAGATACCGTTCCCGTTCTGGTGCGCCGACAAGATATACCTGAATGACGTGAAGTATGAGTTTGATTTACCACAACCGGCCGAGATATGCAACTTCTGGAACAGCTGTGGGCTCCGGTATGAGGCCGAGGAGGTCCGCAAATGTCTGATCGCCGGCAAAGTCGAGAGCGCCGTTATGTCGCACAAGGACTCGGAGCTGTTGGCGGCCATTATGGATGAGATTCGCAGACAGATTGGCGTCAAGTATGACGTCGACTAGTGTTACCCTGGTGCTCATTATACTTGTTTTATTGTCGCTATTTTTCTCGAATACCTCTTAATATATCTCATCCGGCATTAAATGACTGATTAATAAATGCTCACAAACTTTGTATAACGTAATCAAAGTAAAGCTATTTTGAATAAATTTACTTTCAAATGAGAATTGTGCTTGGTTTATTTTTATTATACTACTGTGATTTTTTATAACAGAATTTAATTACTTTTTACAGATTATTTTTATGAATTTATATTAAGATTAAATTTCATGCACATTTTATATTAAAAATTAAGTTTTCAATGAATTATAGTTAAGATTATATAAAACCAATGATTGCTAAAATAAAATGCAAAAATTAATTTGAAGTATAAGGAAACCGATAAGAAATTATTTTAAAATTTTTTATTTAGACTGAAAAGTTCAACAAAACAACTTAATCAGTAATTCAATGAAATTAATGTCAGTATTTCAATTAGAAAATTAAACTTTTTGAAAAACAAATTATACGATAAACTTGTCTAAAATTAGTAGACAATTTTCTGTACTATCATTGATATTATCACACATTTGTGTGTAAATGATAACTGAATTCATTGATTCAATAAACATTTACTTGACTTACATTCAAACACTTCACTAAACAGTAAAATTATTACAAAAAAATGTATCACTAAATTAATATTAAATAAAAACTTGTATAAAGCATCAATCAAACTACACCCATGTTACATCATAAATCAATAGTATCCAGGTCACACAAATAAAAGTGCCGGTAAGTTGTATAAATAATTAATCAGGCAAACTTTTTCACCCAAAAGTGCACGTAATTTATGTGACATCGTATTGGATGAGTCAATGAAATGACTCAATGGGAGAGAGAAAAATCAAAACAATTGATGAATTGAATGCAAACATTGTTTGTGTGTTTGGCTTGCATTCAGTGTTCACTTCATTATCGACTCGATGTCTAAGAATATAATGAAAAGTATATCAGAATTGCATGGCGTCAAGTATGACGTCGACTAGTGTTACCCTGGTGCTCATTATACTTGTTTTATTGTCGCTATTTTTCTCGAATACCTCTTAATATATCTCATCCGGCATTAAATGACTGATTAATAAATGCTCAAAAACTTTGTATAACGTAATCAAAGTAAAGCTATTTTGAATAAATTTACTTTCTAGTGAGAATGGTGCTTGGTTTATTTTTATCATATTACTGTGTATTATTTGAATTTAATTACTATTTACAGATTATTTTTATGAATTTATATTAAGATTAAATTTCAGCACATTTTATATTAAAAATTAAGTTTTCAATGAATTATAGTTAAGATGATATAAAACCAATGATTCCTAAAATAAAATGCAAGAATTAATTTGAAGTATAAGGAAACCGATAAGAAATTATTATTTAGACTATGAAAAGTTTAATAAAACTAATAAATAACTTAATCAGTAATTCAATGAAATTAATGTCAGTATTTCAATCAGAAAATTAAAATTTTTGAAAAACAAATTATACGATAAACTTGTCTAAAATTAGTAGAAAATTTCCCGTACTATCAGTGATATTATCACACATTTGTATATAAATGATAACTGAATTCATTGATTCAATAAACATTTACTTGACTTACATTCAAACACTTCACTTAAACAGTAAAATTATTACAAAAAATGTATCATGCACTAAATTAATATTAAATAAAAAACTTGTATAAAGCATCAATCAAACTACACCATGTTACATAATAAATCAATACTATCCAGGTCACACAAATTAAAGTGCCGGCAAGTTGTATAAATAATTAATCAGGCAAACTTTTTCACCCAAAAGTGCACGTAATTTATGTGACATCGTATTGGATGAGTGAATGAAATGACTCAATGGGAGAGAAAAATCAAAACAATTGATGAATTGAATGCAAACATTGTTTGTGTGTTTGGCTTGCATTCAGTGTTCACTTCATTATCGACTCGATGTCTAAGAATATAATGAAAAGTATATCAGAATTGCATTCATAATAATAATAACCGCTATAATAGCCGTCAGAATAATGTTATCATATAATGATACATATAATCAATTAATAAGTAGTTTATTATAAGTAGTTATAGTGTATTGGTGTGCAAGTGGTTTGTACTTGAGCATAAAAATATTAAATTAGTGATTAGTGTATTAATAAAAATATCATAATTATTGTGAATATATCATAATTGTGTGTTAATTCTCATTTTGTACTAGTACACTTTAATGTCTATTTCTAATTAACTACATAATATATGCATCGATCTAGTAGCCGTGTGAGCTAGCACCTATTTTAATCCAATTGTTATGTGGTGGTTTATTGCAAGAATTTAACTAGTGACACTGGTGATTTTAAGCGACATGGCGTTTATGATGCTAAATGATAATTAAGATATAATATTATATTGTTTTGTTATCAATTGCATTCACAATTGAATGATAATTTTTTGCAGTGAGTATCATAACTATTATGTAAATAATATACGAACGATGATTAAATACGTTAATATAATAAATATACTTATGTGAATTACAATGTATTTTACAGATAAACACACGTTTTCACAACTAAGTGAGCTTCATAATGTACTTTTTTATAAATTCACATTTTTTTGTGTTGGCAAATGTTGTCATCATTTTGTTAATTATGTATAAAATATTTTGTGTTGCAATTGTATACTAGCATACATTAAATGTAAAAAATTATTTTCACGTTTTCTATGAATTTTACAGTTATTTTAAACTCATCATAGACTATGATTCATAGTTTGTTTTATTTAGCATGCTACCCGGCTTATAATTGTTTATAATGCAGTAGTAGTTGCCGATCATGTGTAATATACATGATTTAATATTGCAGCTATGTTTAGATAAATATTCTAACCATGATAATTATTAATAATACTAATAATATCTAAATATGAAGATTCACTCCATATATGACTAACACTATTGTTATGCAATTTATTTAATATATTTATAGCATACAGTTAACCCTATAAATATTCTAACCATGATAATTATTAATAATACTAATAATATCTAAATATGAAGATTCACTCCATATATGACTAACACTATTGTTATGCAATTTATTTAATATATTTATAGCATACAGTTAACCCTTATTTAGTTAATATTAATAAACTAATAATGAACATTTGAATACAATATATTGCGGTTTCATATGGCCGTATTGGACAAATATTACATTTTATCATAAAACTTGTGTCTTATGTTATATTAATGCTCAAAGATTGTGAAACAAATTAACTTTTCAAATCAGTTAACAAAAAACACAAGTTTTTTAAAAAAATCCACAGTAAATAGAGTGTGAAATTCAGGATTTTCAATGTATATGTAATTATCATAATTGTAATACGAGTGCATGTTTTGCATCAACATTTCGTTATTACGAAAGCATTTATACATATTTCTAAGTATTTATTTATTTTGCTTATTATTTCCACTCATATTATAATAATCTGTTTTCCGCAGAAATCTCAGTCGCCTTTCCACTCAACGACATCACCAGTCGTTATACACTGAATGGCATGTGTTGAGAGACATACAGATAAATAATATTCAAATCACTCGGGAGTTACATGTAATAATAAATATTACTAAATAATAATCATCACACTCATAAACATCGCCTAAACACAAATATATATATCATAACATTAAATGGGAAATTATTTGCTTCAAAATATTTGATTAGCAGAATATTCTGTAAATATTTATAATACGAGAGAATTGGAGTGAAGGATATACAGAATATTCTGTAAATTCACTCATTAAGCACTCTTATATCAGTCAAAATACAAACATATAATTAATATACAAATGGATACTCGAGACACAACCAGTTCGCTGGTGAGGAATGTCTTCATCTGGTATTTTATGGTGACATTTGTGGTGCAGTCGGTCACCGGTTACGCACTGTTGGACATACGACAGGACGAAAAGGCAAAGCTATTGCATCGATTGGATTCACTCAATATTCTCGCCTATTCTTCATCTGGTATTTTATGGTGACATTTGTGGTGCAGTCGGTCACCGGTTACGCACTGTTGGACATACGACAGGACGAAAAGGCAAAGCTATTGCATCGATTGGATTCACTCAATAAAGAGCGGATATGAGATGATAACTATGATTGCCACACGTGCTATACCGACAAGTTCACCGCCTCCTATGTCAAGGATGTGCTCTGGCCAAATCGGTATAAGATGCCCGAGTATCAGCCGCGGTAATACCGATACGTGGGTCAGGAGTCCGAGGTTTCGCATCTCAGGTACCCATACATGTCCTTCTCGTTTATCCCCTTGCTTTCAGTTATTAAACAAAATATTAAATTAATTTTATTTTTTTATTAAGTTTTAAGTGCATTAAATTTTTATTTACATTTGATTTTATAAAAGAGTTTTGTTTTTCGTGTTTTAATGTGTAAACTATAGTAGCATTTAATGTTTTTTAAATGAAATGTGTTAGTTACCAAGGTCAATGATGTTGATTTAGACGAGATTATTTGTTACATGATATAACAGATCATTAATTTTAATCAAAACATTTATGAAATGCAAAAGTATATCGATTTTAGTTTTGTAGAGAATTTTTAAATCAACTCTTAAAAATTATTATTATTAAATATATTTGCAATATAATTTATACCGGTATATTAATATATTTCATAAACAACACGTTTTGAAATACAATAAATTAGTTTAAAGTTATGCAGACGTTATGTAGACTTTGAAATTAATAAAAATGATTTATTACTATACAGTGTTTTATAAATTATCAAAATCGAAATCAATACTAAAATTAAATGCATTGAAAAAACATAAGAAGTAATAAACACTAAATTGTATTCATAACAAAACAATAGAAATCTAATCAAACCTCCCGTTCCCCTACAGTGTAATCCCCGAACACACCGGTAATCTCACGAACGACTCGACCGTCTATAACACAAACATACCGCCGGACGCCTTATGGATCAAATTCAACGTCCCGGTGCTCAACAACAAGGACGGCTTTAGTCCGGCGCCCAATACCACCCAATCCCCCACCACATCGATCGAGCGCTGGTATGCCTACGTCTTCAGAGGGGAACTTATCAATAGGTACGACCAGAAGGCCGATGCAGTCTACAGTGTCTTCCGGTGGAAACTAGGGCTCTAGAAGAAGTTGTAGTAAGACGGCGGGTAATAGAAGTTGCGGCCCATAAGTGAGTTTGCCGCGAAGAAAAAGGCGTTAAACCCATACTTACCTATCCTACACTCCCGGTGCCCACCCGTCCACCCATTCATTTGTTAGGCAATAATATTGTGAACACTATTTAGAGAGATCTCAAAATTTGTATTTTCAATCTTGTTTTGTGTTTATAATTATTAGGTATTAATATGTAGTAGAGTTTGTACTAGACCTACCATTCCCTTCCTTTCTGAATGTTTCATACATTTGTATGAACTACCTGTCCACTCATTGATTGCTGGCCAATAATATTTTGACCAAAACATAGTATACTTTGAGATTTATTTAAAATCATATTTATGTTTATCATTAAAATTATTATACCGGTGCTAATAATAGTAAAATTAAACTACCATTTCCTCCCTGTCCATTCCTCTAACCCCTCAAAAAAATACAAACTGACTCACCTCACAATCTGCACCTCCAGGCGCTATAATGACGTACGCGTTCATCGGGACGACCATCTCGTGCTTCATCGTGGGCTCGATTATGCAGCTCTTGGTATACATGATGCCGGACGCGCTCAAGGAGTTTTCGTTCAACGACTGCCTGTACTTCGGGGCCATCATATCGGCCACGGATCCGGTGACAGTGTTGGCCATATTCAACGACCTGCACGTGGACGTCACGCTATACGCCCTGGTCTTCGGCGAGTCCATACTGAACGACGCGATCGCCATAACCCTGGCCGGCAGTATCGACTCGTTTGCTAATCACTATAACGAGGGGTTTTTGGCGGCGGTGTTCCGCGCGTTTGGGAACTTTATCTACATATTCGTCCTGTCCTTCATCCAGGGCTCGAGTATAGGCTGTGCCACCGCCCTGTTGACCAAATTCACCAAACTATGCGACTTTCCCCTCCTCGAGAGCTCACTATTCGTGCTCATGTCGTACTCCACGTTCCTCATGGCCGAGGCACTCGAACTGTCCGGTAGGTCCCACGGAGGCTACCAGTCCTCTCATTATTAGCCTATTCATTGTTATGATAGTTATTTCTATACAGTATAACATATACTATTATCTATACATACTACATACCTGTTTAATAATTGTTAATCAATTGTTTGTTTGTGAGTATGTTTGGACAGGTATTCAGTAGACTACCAGTCCCTACTAAATTCTTACAAATAATCCGTTAATTATCATAAGTTATGATTCATAACAGTTACTGTTATATTTCTAGTTTGTATAAAATGTAAACTATTTACTAATCATTGCTATGTTTTATCACACGTGTGTCTGTGGACAGGCATTGTGGCCGTCCTATTCTGCGGCATATGTCAGGCGCACTACACGTTCAACAACCTGTCGGACGAGTCCCGGAGCCGTACGAAGTCGTTGTTTGAATTGTGTAACTTTATCGCCGAGAACTTCATATTCACTTACATCGGGGTCTCAATGTTCACATTCCCGCGACATTTGTGGTCCTTTTGGTTCATCATATTCGCGTTCATAGCCATAGCGGTGGGTCGGGCCCTAAACGTCTACCCCCTGTCCATTATATTGAATTTTGGCCGAAACAACAAAATACCCCTTAATTTTCAACACGTCTTGTTCTTCAGCGGTTTGCGCGGTACGTATGGGCACAGGGATTAGGGAATGGGAGTCATATTCATAGAGAAATATATGAAAATAATTTCTAAAAATGATTTATATTTTTTTCAATCCATGCGCTCGACTACAGGCGCGATGGCATTCGCGTTGGCCATACGGAACACCATTACAGAGCCCCGGCGCCTGATGCTGACCAGCACTTCGCTTATATCCATAGTGACGGTGATTGTGTGCGGGGGCTGTACGCCTCCCCTACTCCAACAGCTGCGGGTGCCGGTGGGCGTGGAGGAGGCCGAGCACGAGATGTTGCAGTTCAGTGGCGTCCGACGCTCGGGGTCAGCCCAGACACCACAAGACCTGCGCTCCCCATCCATCACCACAGATATGCCCACACGGAGTGCTTACGAGAAGGCATGGCTGGTCCGCAAGTGGTATAACTTCGACGTGCGGTTCATGAAACCCCTGCTCACGCACTCCCGGCCCTCGCTCATGGATACCCTACCGGAGTGTTGTCTGCCATTAGCGCGGATACTGACCACAACTCAGCAGATGAGCGCCGATGAGTACCACCGAAGGGTCAGTCCACTCGATACGAGACAATCAAATGTGAAATCAAATGAATTTCTTGATGTACAGAACGATGAGGACAGTGATGACGATCTTGTGCTACAGCCCAGTGGTGGCCAACAGGAGTCCAACTTTAGCCGAACAAACTCTACAGAATACCAGTCCACTCAGGAGTACAGTCGAGGCACCGGCGCCTACATTACCAATTCGGTGACAGCCGGTGATGGTGGGGCCACCACACGACCCAACACTCTGGAATGGGTAGTGTTGTTACCGGACTTATCGCCATTTGGGCCCTTACTGCACTTGGCCTGCCAGTCCCTACTCCTTGTCGTCGTTTCCCAAGCAGTTAACCAAAACGGGGAGCTCTTGTTATGGTATTGCCTGTCCACACATTTAGACTCGCAATCATTCATTTGAATTGTGTCTTGATTAGTGAATTACGTGCACAACTGTCCCCCACATACCCCTTACCCCATATCCCATACACCTACCCATACCCTTCCATCCACGCCTACATACATATCATTTCAAAACGACGAGTCAATTGATTAATTATTTGTACCATTTAGTGATAATTTGAAACGACTATTTATTTTTATAAAATGAATTAACAAATTATATTTAGTTATCATGTAATGAATGTGCTCTGGATTGCATACAAACACTGTGATTATTATTACTACTATTATTTGAATTTTTATTTCAAAATGTCATTAATTTATTATTTTTATGTATGAGATGAATGTTACAAACGAATTAATATAATAATTATGATTTTCGTGTATAATACCGTTGACCTACAGTTCCTCTCAATTATGTTTATCTCAATTTATTTTGTCATTTTAGAGATTGTAATGAAAATATTATTTTTAATTTCATTAAAAATGTTATGAAAAGTTTTTTTTTGGTTTTACTATCATTTATATTTTATCATTGATTTGTAAATATATGTTCAGGGATATTGTTAACATGACTTTAATTATAGTCTATTTATACGCACGACTCACATATTCAGATGCACTCGGACTTAGGTCTGCCATTGAATGCAACAAATCTCATGTCATTAGCCATCAAATTACCGGAAAAGCGAAGGTATTCCTACTTATATAACATTTAAGTATTGAAATTTATTTATAAAATGTTATATTTTTATAGCAAATGATTGCAAGAATCGGCAAATTTTTTCGTAAAGAATATTTGGCTAAAATTGTGTGAAAAGTAAATTATTTTAAGCAAAATATCATCAGCTACTATATGGTAATCTATATCACATTTACTGGGTTATCGTTATTGAGTACACTTTATGAAGGCGTACACTATATTTGAAACACTGTATAATAACTGTGAAGTATATATTCTGTATGAAATACAGGTGCAATATAATTATGATGTTTCCATATAATGTATAATAAAGTTAATGTATAATGAAGTTAACTAATTATTTCTTGATTATTCTGTTATCTCTCTCTCTCTCTCTCTCTCTCTCTCTCTACTAAATCAAATAAATGGTATAAAATGTTCCTGGTTTACTTGAGAATCTTTTTGCGCCATTATTCTCATTTGAAAACGCCCTACCCAACTAATATTTCCTAATCACCATGGATATTTACCATAGATAAGCACCATGAACACCATGATTAAGCCTTTATTGTTTATTATGTCATGAAATATATTTTTATAAATCATTTTCATTAAATTAAATTAAGTGATGTTCAAGTTATGGTTTTCATTATACTTGACACTAACCCTGATAACCAGTGTTTGTTGTAATTATTTGCTATTTCTGGAGAACATTAAGAATAGTGAGAATAAATACGAGACTCAATGCTTGAGGAGCGCCGACTGTTTGGACATACAGTTTGTTTGCAGTAATAATCGGTGTATTTGCGATAATAACTACATATTCGATGTGAACGACAAAAGTTGTAAACATTTTATTTGTCACATAAACA